TTTTAATAATGGCAATAAGAGATATATTTTTGCTGAGTTTTTTTTTTCTCTTTTTTAACACTATGCATAGCATAAATATTTTTTTGTTTATTTCATATTTTGAAAAAAAAAAAATCACTATGAGCAACTTTGAGGTTTCTACATTAGAAATGCTATGTTCTAGTGATAAGTGTTCTAGGATGATAAAGAATGACTTATAACAATAAACATTTGTATTAATGAGCAGTTTTCTACGTGTAGGAGGGATGCCTATATGTTAAAGACAAAATAATTCATATTTCAGTTCTCTTTAAGATTACATTTATTTAACTTTTTACATCTCCACCACTCCCAAGAGTTATGTACTTCATTAGTAGTTAATTGTACTTAATTGAACACAGCCAAGTGCTTTTGCATTTATTTTTTGAAATCAGTCCTGTTTATACTTGTGTGAGTTTTCTGACAAAAACATTTTAGAGTATAATACTCATTGATCTAGATAGATGTCATTAGTATAAAAAAGAAAGGATATAAAGGAAATTCAAGATTCAGAAATATAGGAAACCATTTTTATGCTGTAATAGTGGGATGTTGCTAAACAGAACTGACAGTTAACTGATTAACCTTCAGTAACTCAAGAAAGCAAGTCTATCTTGGTGTTTCTCTCAACTTTGTTCTGTTTTGTATTTGATTTTTATCCCTTCCTTTTCCAACTCCCCTGAACATATAGGACACACTTGTGATATCATACATTTAGTTAAGACATCATGATGTGTTAGAATATGAGGGAGGAATCTTACATTACTTCAGTGAATATTCTGTGAAAGGTCTGTAAACACAATAAATGGAACTATGATGAGTCACGTATTTTATTTTCCCCCTTATTAATCTCTTAACCCATTCGCACCGGGTAAAAATGAACAAAAAATGGGGAAAATGCTGTGCTCATTTTTTATATTTTTTAATGAAATGTCTCTACACTAGATGGCTCTGCCTCACCTGATTTCACCTTTACTTGAATTGGTGGGAAAATGTATTTTTTACTAGTGCTATGAATATCGATGGTTATTTTTATTATAAACATTATAATTACTATAATGTTATAAACATTAGTAACAGCAAAATAAGATAACGTAAGATATTCTCGTAAATTAAAGAAAAGGGTAAACAGGCGAGACAGGCAGTACAAGTACAAGTGTAGCCATCTATGTGTGAAAACAATCAAACAAGTAAACTCACAGTGCGCCCGTCACGTATACGTGACACCTGGCATGAATGGGTTAAAGATACTTTATATGTTCTTAGTTTATACTTCAGTATAAGGTGACAACCAGGATTAATTAAAGTAAGTAGGGAAAAACTGTCATTTATGACTTCACCTTTTCATAAACTTCTTAGCCTATCACACACACACATTCACACACATAATATGTAAGGTCTTATTTGTAGCATCCTGAAACCAAGCAACCATTTTGATTAACTTAAAATTTTACCCATATCCAGTGAACAGTACATGTACTGCTAAAAAGGCAAAAACATTTTATGCACCTTTGCAATAAAATGTTTTATCTAGAAATTTAAGATGTTTTTTGTAATTGATTAAAATATAAATCCCAGATATTACAAGAAGCATATCTGAAAAAAAATATATTGCACCCTTATTGGGGGCCAGAGTGCATCAAACTATCAAGATAGAGGCATACACTGATATAAACCCAAAAGATGTTTGAACAAGTTCCAATAATGTATGGCATTTATCAAACATGTATCAAAGTGTTTAGGGTTTTGGAATTGTTACAAAAAGGCCTATGATGTATAATATATATATCGTTTCAGCTAATTTTGCAGGTCTTTTCTTCTCCTTTCAATTTCCTTCTCTTCTTCATCCCCTCCTGTTTATTTATCCAAATCGTTAACTCTTATTTACCCTTTTCGCCACAACACTTTGCTGTAATGCTATGTTACCTCTGATGTCTGTTACATTTGTTAGCTTTGACCATTCTAGAAATCCACAAACACTGCTTTATTGAACCAAAAAACTTTTCCCCCCAAACCCCACCCTGTTGCTATATTTTTAAAAATAAATGCAATAAGCTCTCGGCTTATATATATATATATAAGCATTTACATATAAGTGCATATATACACACACATACATATGTATACATATATATATGCACATATATATACATATGCATACACATATATAAACATACATATGTATATATATAAATACATATATGCATATATAATAATATATATATATATATATATATATATATATATATATATATATATATATATATATATATATATATACATATATATATACATATATATATACATATAAATATACATATAAATATACATATATATATATATATATATATATATATATAAATATATATATATATATATATATATATATATATATATATATATACATATATATATACATATAATATACATATATATATATATATATATATATATATATATATATATATATATATATATATAT